GGCAGCAAGGTGGTACGCCACTATAGATATTGCCAATGCATTTTTCTCCATTCCTCTGGCAGCAGAATGAAGGCCTCAGTTTGCTTTCACCTGGAGAGGCATGCAGTACACCTGGAACCGACTGCCCCAGGGGTGGAAGCACAGCCCCACCATCTGCCATGGACTGATCCAGACGGCACTGGAAAAGGGTGAGGCTCCAGAACACCTGCAGTATACTGATGACATCACTGTGTGGGGGAACACAGCAATGGAAGTATTTGAGACAGGAGAGAGGATCACCCAGATTCTGATAGAAGCCGGCTTCACCACCAAGAAGAGCAAAGTCAAGGGACCTGCCTGAGAAATCCAGTTCCTGGGAGTAAAGTGGCAAGACAGATGGAGTCAGATTCCCACTGAGGTCATCAACAAGATCACCACAATGTCTCCACCAACCAGCAAGAAGGAAACACAAGCTTTCCTAGGTGCCATAGGTTTTTGGAGAATGCACGTTCCTGAGTACAGCCAGATTGTGAGCCCTCTCTCTACCTAGTTACCTACAAGAAGAACACTTTCCAGTGGGGCCCTGAACAGCAGCAAGCAGTCTCTCCCAATGACAAAACACAACAGCCCGTTCTAAATCCTACTTTCCTAAGTTTGTATGTGAAACTATGTTGAAGTCTTTTTTCCAACTTTACTCAAGTAAACCAAGTTCTCTAAAAAAATTCCACCTTTTGTCTTTATCAGGCTTTGTCCTCAAATGTAGTTGATGAATACTTGGAGTATACTCCAACAATTATGATTTACACCCCCCCTGAGTACTTGTACTTAATTTCAAATTGATCTTTCTCAAATGAACTCCAGGCGTCAAAAAAGCAGAGTGAACTGGCTGCATAAATGTTCAAGTTCAGTTCCTTGCACCACTGGCCACCCTCTAATAACTAATACACATAAAAGAGAATTTCCTTATCTTCAGATGCTCCCACAAACCCACCATAGAACAAATGCCTACTAATCAAAAATTGTTCCATGTGAAGAAGAGGTGGAGCATTCTAATATTTTGAAAGGTACATAATTTAATTTCTTTCAACCAGCAATCAGTGCCCAGACAATAGTCCAGATGGAACAGTGCAATTTATTTTAAGAATGGCATGCTGTAAGAACACATGCATCTGCAGATATGGATAAAACAAAGAAACTGCAAAATGAAAATAAAAATGAACTGAAGTAAAACAGATTTCCCTAGTCGGTGTTGTGAAATGGAAAGAAACAAATAAAGGAACTAACAGATATTGAAGTGAATAGGTCAAATAATTAATATGGTCTTCTTTTATAATTAGAAAATGCAAGTTACACCAGCTAAAAACACGTATTTCTGAAATGGTGTCCAGTAGCGAATATGAAAATTATATATTTGGATACTTTTTGCAATCTCCAGAATCAAGTACTTCATGCTGAAACACCCAGGCCCATTTTCCTCTGATTTCAGTGTGTTGTCTTCAGTTAAAACACCGGCACGTGTCACAGTGCACATAGCACCAGCTGCTCCCACCTTTTAAACACATCTCCACGCAAACTCATTCAAGTGAACTGAGCTTTTGCCCTGCAATTTCCCATTTTAAAATAATTATTATACCCTTTAGCTTACCAAGAGCAATTAAGCCTGTCTGGATGAGCAAAATAACCACATTCTGCAGTCTCAACCTTAGTGAGAATTCCCTGTCAAAACATTCTTGTTTGCCCATTAGCCAGCAGGTTTGAACCGTGTCTTCCAACAGCCCTCAAGTAAGGTCCCAGGGTAATGTGCCTAACATTTCTTAATTCTTCAAACTCAAAGCATGCTTTAGGTATTGACAAAGCCTCTTTGTATTTAAAAAGTTCAGCACATATCAAAGATAAGGCAAAACAAAGAACACTCCTGAAAAAATAACAACACTTGACAAGAAAAATAAGCTTAGAACCAATGCTCATCCCAGTGTTGTATTTGACTTGCTCTTTTCCTCCTTCACACAGAAGGGCAATTACTTGAGCAAGTATTCTTTGTTTAATATACCCTCTCGGGTTGCTGGAAGTTTGCTTCAATATATTGAATATTTTTTTATCTTTTAGTGAGCTGCAAGCCACCAAATACAATTCATTACAGCACAGATTGTCTTAAGAGATGCTTCACACTAGCCCTGCCTGTGTTACTCCAGTGCTGAATGCAATTCATGTAGTCAACAAATAATTATGCAAAAGCACTATAGCAGTACTCTACTGACAAGCACAATGTTGCTAGAATAAATACAGAGTATCTTGCAGCCCAACAGTGAGGGGTTTGTATTAATTCACTGTCCATTGATACTGAACTTTCTACATAATCACTGATCTCTAGCACATGTGCATGAGTAATAGCTTAATTTCTCACACAGATAGCTCTAAATTTAGATAACTTTTTTTTCTCCTCTGCAACTATTCCTAAAATCAAATGCACATTTCCAGAAAAACCTCTTTCAGATTAACTATGCCAAGACTTTGGAATTTAAAACTAATATGTTGAACTAGCATCAACAAAGTATGTAAACCTGTCACCTAATAAACAATACTTCTTCCACAAGTACTGATTTAGAATAAGCCAATTCAAGTTGCAATCATGGAAATTCTGGAAAGACAAAGGAAAAAGAGTTTACAGCAAGGGTGGTGAAATGCAGGACGCAAAATATCCGTCTTTGAAGATATACAAAACTCGGAGAGATAGGACACTGAGCAACTTGATCTCACCAGGAAATTGTAGCCTCACTTGGAGAAGTTTAAACAAGATAATCCCCTAAATTACTGTCTAACTATATGACAATCTGGGGGATGCCCATAGGCACACAGGAATTAAACCCACACCAAATGTCTTACTATGCACATGATGTTTTTTCATCTTACAGAAGAAGAACAGGCTGGAATCAGATATAAAATCTCTGTACCTGAGGTACGACAGACTACACAGCTCAAAAAGGAAGCCACCCATCAGTTAAGCTCACTGTTAATCTGAATAAACTCTTACTATTAAATAACTGCATTTTTGTGTCCTGTATTTGGTTTAGCTGAGATGGAGTTCACTTTGCCCACAGCAGCCCCACAGCGCTGTGCTTTGCACTGGTGGCTGGAAAGGCACTGGTAACAACCAGTGTGGGCTGGCACAGCATCAGCACCCTCTCTCCAACATTCTGCCCTCCCACACCAGCAGTAGGCTGGGGTTCGGCAAAATCCTGGGAAAGGACATACCCAGGACATCTGACTCCCACTGACCAAAGGGATATTCCATACTACACGATTTTTGGGATGTCTGCTGATATAAAAGCTAACAGAAGGAAGAGGAAGCAAAGCCATTCATTATTTACAGTGTTTGCCTTCCAGAGTAACCACTACATGTGCTGAAGCCCTGCTTCCTGGGAAGTGTCTCGACATCACCTGATGATGATGAGTAGAGGATAAAACCTTTGTTTGCATGCATGCAACATTTTGCTTTTGCTTCAGTAAACTGCCTTATCTCAACCCATGGATTGTTTTCCATCTTGTATTTTCTCCCCAGGCCACCTGAGAAGAGAGAGTGATAGAGTGGCTTGGTGAGCACCTGGTGTGCAGCCAAGGTCAACACACCAGAGCCCCAAGAACAGAACTCCAGCTATGGAAATGAGAGCAGAAGCATCTCACCACTGGTGACAACAAAGTCAACCAACAGGAAAAAAAAAAGAAAGATGTTTCATTCATTGCATCTTTTAAAAACGAACAGAAAGGAAAAAATTTTACAATTTTCATTCCTGTTATAAACTCATTTTGAATAATGAATGCCTGTTTTTTCTCAAGTGATTGTGCTATTTATGGTGCTAGTAAGAGAAAATTCCTCCTGAACCCATACTATTTAACTCATTTTTAAATAACTTCCCAGTGAGGTAAGTGCAACCCAAATATTACAGCAGCAATGAAAATAATTTGAATATTCTTTCATAAGCAAACTCAAAACTAAGAAAACTCAAATCAGTTTCTCATACTGCTTAAGATCTTTTATTCCTCAATCTCAGAAACACAGGTATAAGATATTATTAAAACAAGCTAAACTTAATGCAAGAAACTATTTCTCATAACCTAATTTAAACTTTTAAACACATGTCAAAAGAGAAGAATACCTCCTCTATAAAATGTTCTGCTGACTTAAAAAAAACCTGTATAAATTAGCACACATAAGCAGCAATTTCTCATGAATGTTAATACAACCAAACTAAATCCAATAACATGATGGGAGATAAAAAATTGCAAGCAACATGGTTTTTGCTTTTCTGGAAGAAAAGTACATTAGGATAAACAGGAATTTTATTTTCTCTTGGTGACATGGCAGCAGTACCACTTTCAAAGTCCCATCACCAATGTCCAGTACAGTTTCAATACTTCAATTGCTTTTTTAAATAAAGATGAGGTTATTTCCAAAATATTGCCAAGAGTAGCTACTTTTCCATTTAAAGGATACATCTACTGTTCATTTAACTGTGAGTGTCCCAAAATTATTCATGCTGCATCCTCCTCCCCCCTGCCTCAAGTCCACTGTCTGAGTCCAGCACTCTGAGGAGTTTATTGCAATTATAAGTTTGTGGAAGCAAGAAGCATCTCTAATATTTACTTGAATGGTGCCTAGTACACACTTTCAGGCTGTAAGAAATATGTTTGAATTACTGCATTACCAAACTGGGGAAAGAATTCCACCAGCTAACAAGAAATACAGTGTAAGCTGATGATAGGAATTAACAGCTGATGGACACACATGCTTTCTGCAGGTGGGTCTTCACCATAAGAGAACATTAAGTGCAAGACATTCAAATAACTAAACTCCTCTGAGGAAATACACCGATAGTAGAACTCCAACATCTCTTCTCAGAAAGTTTTAAAGCATCTAAATCCAGATAATTAGCTAGCACAATGATGAAGAAAACAACTGACAGCCAATTCAGCAGAACATACAGGAAGATATAAGACTCATATCTAAATTGGAATTTAAATACCTCTTTATTGGTCCTGGAAGATCTAAGCTGAGTGGAATTCGATAAGAGGATGCTAAGGTGTCATCCACAGCCTTGCTTATTTCCTGCAGCTCCCTCAAAGAAATGCAGCCAAGTAAAGCAGCCAGTTCACAGTCCTGTGACTGAATAAGCCTATCTTGTTCTTCAATTTCTCTTCTCAGCTGTTGATCTTTTCCTTCTAATATGGCCAGTCTTGTTCTGAGATCTTCAATTTCTTTCTGCATAGAACAGAAACCAAAGTTTACTATGAATCTTATAAAAGAAACCCATTCACCCCTAAGAAAAAACAGTACAAGTGTCAGAAGTAGCATGAATTAAATATGTCCAATTCAGCAAACATTAAATGAGACATCTTCTTGCTGACACACAAAAACTCTTATTTCAGTTGTACTCAGAAACTCTAGTGCTTCCAGCAGTCTGAAACTCACCACCTCCAGCTCAGTACCACACTTCAAGTTCCTCTTCCAACAGCTACTCTCAGTCCTCTTCCACTTTTAAAATACATAGGTATTTCACAATCACAAGCTAAAAACTTCCACCAAAAAAACAAATGTCAGATCACCCATGGCAACAGAATCCTGTTCTACAGACTGGCAGCTAAACTGATCAAACATCTATCCTGCAGAATATCCCTGCAATGGTTTATCTGATGTTTCCAATTCAATATGAAGCACAGGATGCAAGCAGAGCATCACCTACTATCTAATCAGCCCCTCTCATAATTAACATTTCATATTAACTAAAAAGCACAAAATCCTTCCCTTGACTTAAAATGCACAGAACTTCAATATCAGTTGCACTCACTTTTCTAGAAGTGCAAATTGTGTGCATTATGATATTGATGTTTCTTGCAAGAGCAAAATACAATTTTTAGAACCATAGAACTGTAGAATCAGTAATGCTGAAAAAGAGCTCCAAGATCATTGTTCCCAACTTTGACTGAACAGCACCTTGTCAACTAAAACAGAGCACTAAGTGCTATGTCAAGCCATTTCCAGGGATGGTGACTCTACCACCTCCCTGGGCAGCCTACTCCAAAGCCTGACCACCCTTTCAGTGAAGAAATTCTTCCTCAAGTCCAATCTTATTCCCCCCGGTACAGCTTGAGGCCATTTCCTCTTTTCCTGTCAATTATTACTTGGGAGAAGAGACCAACCTGGCTACAACCTCCTCTCAGCTAGAGAGTGATAAGGTCCCCACTGAGACTCCTTTTCTCCAGGCTAAACACTCCCAGCTCCCTAAGCTGCTCCTCATCAAACTTGTGCTCCAGACCCTTCACCAGCTTCATTGCTCTTTTTTGGATGTGCTCAAGCACCTCTATGTCCTTCCTGAAGCGAGGAGGCCAAAAGTTTAAAAAAAAAAAATCTTCATTAATTTGTACATCATCCTTGCACAGGTTTTTCCTTGAAAACCCAACAGATAGCTTGCATCCAAGGAAGCAGCACTTGTTGAAGGAAACTGGGTTGCTAAGTTAAAGTTGTCATCAAACTAGCTGAACATCATGCTGGAGAATATGATTTGATTCCTACACTTCTTACTGTCTCTGTGAAACTTTGCAAGCCATTTAAACTATTATGTCCACACATCGCCACAGATTGTATGTTCATAATTTTCTATACAACCTGCAAGAGATCTCTGACATGCTATCTATAGGCTCTCAACAGAAATCAAAGCTCAATTTCAAACTCTGATCACATTCAGTCCAACTAAAAATAAAAATGAAAAACAAAAAACCAAATCTTTAATAAGTGAAAAACTAGGCATTACAAAACTGACGTTAGAATCAACCATATGGCTTTTTATGGCAATTCATTTTTCCATTCTGCAGCTGAGCAAATGGCAGTAACACCCAAAATGGTGTTGCAGAGATAAAATTAAGTGGGTTTGAATCACTAAGATGCCATGTTGATTAATACTATAAAAGGAGCCCACTCACAAATTAATAAACTTCTATTCAAAAGAAGGTTTGAGTGGCACACAGTAAAAGGGTTCTGGGGTCAAATACCGAGTAATGAAGATAAAATAGTATTCTGAATATCTGAACAGACACTTCAGTTATGTATGAGGCAGGGATCTCAAAGGCATAATTCAATATTACAGACTCTTATAAAACATATGTACTATGCACAAATAACAGACTTTGGCATTTCTTTGCTTTTTAGAGTTTCACTTGATAACTTTAACATTAAAATAATGTTTTCAATGCAATTTGCATGAAGTTTAGTTCACAAATTTTGTTAACAAACATACTTTCAGGTTTGCTGCACTGTAACCAGCTTTCTCAAGTATCACTTAGAACAAGATATGGTCCTTGTACATTCAAAGGTTGAATAGCTCCAAAATTTCAACTTCTAATAGTCCTGTGCACTAGGTTTCCTCAATTACTTTCCTCCTTCTATGGTTTTAGACATAGCAAGAAGAGAATGGTGTAGTCCATGTTTCAACCCACAGGCATTTGTCAAGGACAGAAAGGTCAGCAGACCAAAAACATCAGTTTTGTTTCTTTCAGTCTCAAATTAGGCTTTTAGTGCGCACAAAGGACAATTCTGTCTCTGTTTTACTGGCTTGGGAATACTGCCAAAATCTTAATAGGCCCTGCTTAATACAGAGACCTCCATACTCTGTGAAAATGTAGTAATTGCAATCACTGCAATAAGCAACCTACATGGGAACAGAAAGCAAGATGAACAGAATCTGGTTTTATAATCACACTTTTAGTATTGAAATGTACAACATAAATAGACACTAGAAGCACACAATCTGCATTCACAGAAAGAAAGCTGCTCTGCTCAGGAATAGTTCACAGGCGTTCTTGGGAGCATGGAAATTTTAATCAGTAAACTCGAATACTCCCGTATTCTTTTCCAGAAATGCAAAGAAGCCTTTAGCATGCTCTTGGTCAGCCTCCAGGGACAGATAAAAAGGGCCTAAAGTCTCAACATGGAGCAGCAAATGATATTCATATGACTAAACATAAGCTGGAGTTCTACTTTGCAGATTTGAGTTTAAACTGGGATTTCCAACACAACAGCTAATCAGCATTGACTGTACACCTCCAGCCTCACTTATGGACTGATGGTCTCCATGCAGTAGAGACTGCAACAGAAATATTAATACATAAATTATAGATACTGCCACAGGTTTTCAAATCCCTGAATACAAATGCAGAACCAACAGAACAGAGCAGAAAAAGTAAAGTGGGGCTGAGGAAAATTTTTAAAAAATTACTTCTGATCATGCAAGATTTTGGACAGGAGCAATCCTTAGGGATTCCTGGGTGCATACAACCACCACAGATCAGCATTCCCCAGAACCTTGAATTCCCAGTAATTTTGATAAAATGCTAATAAATAGCATGCCTGTATAATGGTGTGGTTAATTTTTCCCTAGTATAACCACAGAAGAATAAAGATTCAGCTTGAGCAAGTGTAAAAATTAGCTGTTGTGGAGTCTTAAGTACAGCAGTTTTCAGTTCAATATCTTGAGGTGGCTCTTGGATGCCTAGATTGAAAAAATTTTCTACATGCTTATAATGCTGAGCTACACTATTTCTCCTCTTGTTGATGAAATGAACCCAAAAAATATAAAGGAGATGAATAGGATAAAAAAAAATACATTTCTTCACCTAAGTACAATTTTGCAATGACTACATAAGATGTTTTTCTCTATTTTTCTGCAGGTTTTTTTATATATATAAATTTATGTGCGCACACACACAGAGACTACTATAATATTGGATCCACCAAAGGAATGAAAATATCCTAAAAAAATATTTCAAGATGGGAACACATAAAAAAAGAAAAAGTAGCTCTCTAAGGTGCCACTTTACTGAGTGTGATCATCAAGGTTTAAAAGAGACATAACTAGACAGTATATTGAGATTTTTGAAGGATGGTGAAAAGAAAAAGCTAAATTTTGCTTAGAAGGCTTGCAGACTTAAAATTGGACTAATGCCATCTCGAAACATTCCATTTGCCAAACTATCACATTGTGACATCATGTGTCATTGTAATACTATTGTTAGCAAATGCTAACTGCTCCGTGATGATTCCTTCATCCTTATGAAAAGCATCAATCATCTTTCAGGAATAAAAGCTGGTAAATCATGCATTTATAGTAAATTCTAACCAGAAACGGATGAAAACTTTTTGTCTTCAAATAAAAACTTTGGAAGATCAGTGTAATATTAAAACATCAAATTATAACAAAGAGCATGCTTAAAAAGATAATGAGGAAAGTTTAAGCATGCACACAAGCCACCAAACCTTCCAGCTCTGCATTTCTGTAATGAGATTAACACAACTCCTGTGGCTGCCATCTCCAATCATCACTTAGATTATCGACTGGACTCCAGCCAAGGCTCTAATTACTACACAGAAGCAAAGTCGCTATTACAATAAATTTATTTAATTCTGTGTGACAGCTTACAAGGTTTTCCCCACTTAGCACTGGCTCCTATGCACAACTTTGCAGTCCTGTTACCTGTAGTTGCTTCTTTTCTTGAAAAAGCTGGTTTCGTTTCGTGGCTGAAACCTGCGTCCCCTCCTGGGAAGTTGATCTCAAAAATCTGAGCTCTTTTTCATGACAAAGACCATTTTCTTCACGTCTAACCCTTTGAAAAAAAACCAAAAAAAACCCAAAAACAAAAAAACAACAGCTAAAAATTAGTGGTTTTCATGAGTTTCAGTGTCTTAAGGATTAAACTGATCAGAATGCTACATATTACCTTTAGAGTCATAACACTGCACCACCAGAATGACTGCATTTCAAACAGATACAGTTAGAGAACAAGAGGGTTTTTTTCCCTTGGCATATCTTCCTTTATTATCTCAAACATTTGCACTGTTTTTACAACATGATGAAGAAAGAAAATGGAAAGCTTGTATAGCTTCAGGCTTCCCCCAGCTTTATCATATTTCAGAAATTTATCCATCACTGCCTTGAAAGAGACAAAACTAAGGCATGTAGTTTCTATCAATACAGAGAAAAATCTCTTAGACAGAAGTTTAGAAACTTGCCAAAGCCTTTTTTGCAGCTTCTGTCAGCTTTTGGAGACTACATTAGAGATCATCTGGAGTGTTTGCTCCACAATGCCAAATTTTACTTCTCTCTTGCACAGCAAGTTCTTTCAAAATCACAATCAGCGGGCTTCCTCCCAGTCATCTGTGCAACCCTCAGTCATAAATCTTTGCATGACTGGACTCCAAGGTAATCAGCACATTATGTTAAGTATCAGTTCCATAATCTGCCTCTCAAAATGCACCTGCAAACAATGCAAACCCATTTTCATTTCCATGTTCCCTCCTAAGGGCACGTGCACTTGCAAAGGGCAATTGTGTTTCTGTGTCAGTCTTTAGAGACAAGTGCATGCATCTCCACATAAAGATTACAGATACATTTCAGTATCTTCTTTAAAAAATACTGCATCTCGAATGAAGCGTTTTGAGGCATGATTTCCCACTGTAATCTTGCAAAGCAAATCCATCCATGCCACATATAAAACATGCATCATAAATCTGGCTTAAGCATGATTTATCACACAATTATGATCTCCATGCACAGGTGTTTAACAAGTGTGTAGAACAAGAGGTTTTCATCTATTCTACAGGACCATCAAAAGACACACTTGCTTTACTCCCACTCTATGGGCCGTACTGAAAAAGCAAAATAAAGCTTTAGCACTAACATAGGTATCGTTAAGCAAGATAGACATAATGACAGTGTAACTGCATTTGTGTATTAACAGCATGCACCAAAGAGAGATCACTAGTATGAGGTGCTGGGCCATCACTGTGCCTTACAGACATTACAGGTTCCTGTGGCTCCAACCAACCACACTTCCCAGCAGCTCTGAAGGCACATTCTTCAAGCTGGAGCTGCATCATTCCAAGAGATGTACATAATAAATTTCCAAGTGGCTGGTCAAAATTTAGAAAAAATTCCATTATAAACATAGTTTATTTTCAGAACCTTGGAAGTTCCATGTGTATCTGTCTACTTGGTACTGCTGAAAGACAAACAAGATCTTTCTGATCTCACCAAACCTGACTGATTGCACAACCACAACATCTGCTGTTCCTAAGCTAAACATAACCAAATCTGGCTCCTACCACATGACCCCAATATTCTGTATCAATATCAAATCCATTCACTTAAAAACTCACTTCATAATTTAATCAAGCAAAACAAAACTGAGGCATGAATTTCAGCTTCATATCTTAAATAAGCTGCCATACACACTTTTCTTGCAAAACTATGAGATTGCCTTGACTACAGTAATATTGCCATGATCTAGTCTTCTAAGGCTAGTCTGATCATCTTTTTAATTTTCCAGGCAAAAAAAAAAAAGTCTTCTTGGGTATACTGCTTTTGTTCCAATTAAAAATGAATACAAAAACTGAAGCCTACAAATTTTCCTTGAGGAAGAAGTTATGTTTGCCACTGTAGTATCTAAAAATACAGCTGGAACAGAAAGGAATTAAACCCCTGTACAGAAGACAAAGGGTACTCTTGCTATATCAATGAGTCAGGCCACAGACAAAGCAACATAAAAGGCCACAAAAATCAAGCAAGCAAATAAAAGGGTGTCACAACAACACTAGTTGAACTAAAGCTCAAAGAAAGGAATGTGCACAAGACAGAAAAGGGAAGAGGATATCTATCTGACCCTGAAGACTGGCACTGCTCAGACCTGTGCAAAGAGAAGAGTTACAGATGTAATCACGCAAAGAACAGGAACACTTTCATAAATATAACATCTATTTTATATATAAAAGCATTATATTTTATATATTATATACTTATATATTTGTATATTATATATATTTATATATATATTATATTATATATATTATATTTATATATTATATACATTTTACAGGATAAAAATAAGCAAACTGTATCTGAGGAATGCTTTAGTGACTCAATTTCCATGACAAAGAAGACAACACTACTTCTAATGTCAAAATCATTATTACAAATTAATGCATAGACCAAACATATTAATGAAATAATAGAGAATGGTGTATCCTAATCCTTAAGGAATGGTAAAACAGCCTCTTAGAGCCTCAGATGGTAGAAGGAAACAGCTCAGAAGGAATACAGCTTCTTATAAACCTCCCTTATTACTAGATGCTATAAATACAGACTAAAAATACCTTCCAATTCTCCAGTTTCAGAAAAAATCGTATTATCTGTACTGATTTTATCTAATTTTCAAGTCTGTCAAAAATTACACATGAAGGTATTGACTAGCACACTGCAGCCTTTATATTAACAAGCCGCCAGAAAACAAAAGGCTTCTCTTCTTTCATTTGTGTGATTGCATTTGAGAATAGCTTTCAATTCCTATGAAGCATTCTCTTCTAACAACAGTAACTAGGAGCACAGATTAAGATAGACCAAGAAATAGAGACTATTTTTTTCCCTAACCTATCCCTCTTCAGCCATCTGACACATCTCACTTTCCTCCCATCTTTGAAGTTATCTCTTCAAGATGAGGTTTAGAATTTATTTTTGTGACTTTGTACAGTGCTGAGCTCAATATTGCTATCTAAGAAGTGGCACACAAAAGGAAGTTCCCAAAGATCTCTTCATATCAAAAAATAATCTGGTTTTTATTTTATATTTAAATATCCTTTCATTGCCTGAAAGGGAGCATCAGAATTAACTCCACAGGGAAGCGTTGCTCAAGCTGCGTTGCTGTTGTATGCTCAAGCTGCCGTGTCAAGGATTCAATCCCATTCCCACTCAATATCAATGAGAAACATTCCATTTAATTTGCCAGTTCATCATGATCAATGTTTCTGAGGGGAGTTCTGAAAGAATTGTAGAAAGAAAAAAAAAATGGGGGGGGCAGGGTGGGATTGTCATAAACAAGCTCCATATGGACACATTAGATGGTCATTAAAACTCTTTATTATAGATATTCATAAGTGTATTCTGCATTTTGAGAAAAACAGAAGCACCATTTTACACAATAATGAATCAACAAACTTACCAATTATCAGCAGCCCAGTGCAATGTTGCCTGAACTTGGGTCATGAACCTATCCAAAAAACTGCTAACAGAGGGATGCCTTGAAGGAAGCTGAAATTTTAAAGAATTTTTCTCCTTCTCCAGTTCTTCCAGTTTCCGTCTAAATTTATCAGCTAGAAATTAAATAAAAAATAATTTTAAAAAAGTTAAACAGTGGTAAAGGATCCTGTTTTACCAGGGGGGAGGGAAATAGTCTCTCAACAAAAAGTAAAATCCACCTCTCCAATGGTTCTTCTTCCTCCTCTTTTCATAAAATCTATCTGTCTGTTCTGCCCAAGGACAAATCAACAAGACTACAATGTAAAACAGCAGATAACCAAGATGCCAAGCTACTTTTTTTCTAAGACAAGGACAAAACTGCAGGCTTCCCAACACTTTTTTAATTTCATAGGGCTTCAAAGAATTGGCTCAAAGTTATCATCCATGCTCTTCCTAGAGTAACAGATGAGAATTAAATTCTATGAAAAATGCTACTTCTCACTGCTTCAGTTTTTATTAAAACCTAGACAGCAGTTACATATTTAAGTTTCGACCTTATTAAAAATTTGTATTGTTATTAGATCAAGAACGGAAGAATCACATATGATAAAAAGTGTACTTCAGCAGAAAATGCATGTGCAATTATAGCAATTAAACAATTATCACATTCCAGGCTCTCCTGAATTATACTCAATTTATCATCCAAAAATAAAAATATTTACCTCCAAATTAAAAAAAAATAACAGTAGTCTCCAAGAGACTGCTTAGATTCTAACATAATCCTACACGTTTCTTAGAGTAACCACTTCTCTTATATAAGTTACTTGTTTTCTGTCCCTGTGCAGAAAACAAAGGAACATCATTCTAACTACTAATTCTTAATGCAGTACATGTATCTTCTATTGTGCCACTATATCGACAAAATCACATATATGACAGATAACAAGCCTGCCATCCAAGACAGAACACCTTTGATGATACATTAGTCAAATTAGAGAGTTTTGAGCTAACCCACAAATGGAAAACCTTTACAGTGCAGTACTCTGCTTGTGACCTCACTGCATACAATTTTGTGCGATTAGCAATCCTCTTAACATTTTCAATATGTTATTATCAGAATAGCATCCATCTGTGCATGCTTTTTATTGCTTATTTTCTTTCTTTATCCTCTGAAGGGATTTAACATGAGAAGTTGCTTACATTTGCTGGTTTTGAGAAATGATGCATTTTTACAATAATCTATCATTAGTATTGATCTCCATTCTGCATCTGCGCCAACAGGGTAGAATAAAGACAGAGACCTTCGTAATAAAACTAGATCTTTTCCCTGTCCCAGCACACTGCTCTCCAGGCTGAACTCACTGTTGTGTTGTCATCCACACGCAAAATGTCACAAGGCCCTTGCTGAAATGAGCACGCTACCCCTCATGTACCCATGTGCATATTATCCCTGCAAAGTAGTGGAGGTGAACCACACCTGCGATGCATTTCTCAGGGGCCACAGCTAAGCAGATTCACTATATCCCTATCACCACACTGAAACTGAAATGTGAGCTAAGATCAGAGTCCCAACCCCACATTTTGACCAGAAAAACATACCAGCACTTGCATGCTAATGTGCCACTTGGCATTTCAAACTCAGCCATGGAAAACACCACTGTTACAAACAGAATAGTGAGGGCTGAGAGGGTTGGCTACTGACCAATGACCACTGAATGCCAAACCACATGGAAACACCTCCTTTTACTCACACCATTCGCCACTGGGCTTCCTGGGAGTTGTGGCAACCCTCTATAGCCATTTAACAACGTCATCATTGTTCTTCGACATAATTATGCTGAACTGTGTTTGTGTGTCCAGTTGTTCCATCGTTCTACTCCTACCCCTCCTGGCCCTAGAAACATGCTATTTTGGGAAGGAAACAGATGAGGGATTCCACATGCCAATTCCTTCTCTCTCTCTCTCATTAAGTCTTGGCTGCATCCTGCTTCATATATTCCAATCTACACACTATTCAATTAGTTTCTACTAACAGACGTTTCTAAATAATTTGTTCCACTGGCATCTTATAAGTAATATGGCTGCTCATATCCACTTAGCTCTCTGCACTAAATTTTTTTTTACCCTTTTTCACCATCACACTTAAGGGTTATGACTTAAGAGACTCCAGCACCAATGAGCTGAACACTGCAGCAACCAGCTTTTAGAATCCTCTCCTGGAAAGCAGATCTGTGCCATTTGACCTGGGTGATATCTTTAGTGCATGGAGAGACCCAAGAGCCTCAGTGCCAGCTGCAGAGCAGGGAACCATGCAAATAAGGCTCATCTCAATCTAGCTTTTAGTGCTGCAGAAGTCTGGATCAATTACACAAGTAATGGAAATTATCAGAAGTCTAGCCAACAGGATGTGAAAGAGGGAAATAAGCAGGGTTCCTCAGACTAGCAGAGATAAAGACTGAGGTAACTTCCAGTACTACTATAAGCCAGTAAGCGGCAAAGGAAGCAGTAATAGAATGTTCTCTTAGAACTTGAGTCCTCAGTAACAAACCTGAGTTGCAGCAAATTGTGTGTGAAAAAAACACTGGATATAGTGAAGCACTAAATCTAACTGCCAGGGTTAGACAGGAAATCCCCTCCAGTGTTGGTTTTCAGGTCAGACAAACATCTCTGAGGAATACCTCTGGCAGAGTTTAAGGGCTGAGGCCAGAAAAACCAAATGCATTGCCTTGTTTGAACAAGGGACAGTGCCAGATTCTGCACCTGAAATGGTGCAGCCCTGGAAGTATGGACAGACTGGGGAATGAGAGATGCTGGAAAGCAGCACCACAGAAAGGCCCCTGGGGACCCTGGTTGATGACAAGTTGAACAAGAGCCAGCAGTGCCCTGGCAGCCGGGCAACCCTGACCTGGGGGGCATCAGGCTCAGCATCAGCAGCCAGGCAAGGGAGGGGATTGTCCTGCTCTGCTCTGCACTGGGGTGGCCTCACCTCGAGTGCTGAGGGCAGTTCTGGCTGCCACAATATGAGAAAGAAATTGAACTGTTAGGGAGTGCCCAAAGGAGGGCAGTGAAGATGGTGAAGGGCCTTGAGGGGAAGGCATTTGAGGAGCAGCTGAGGTCACTTGGTCTCTTCAGCCTGGAGAAGACTGAAGGGAGACCTCACTGCAGTTATAACTTTCTCATGAGAGGAAGAGGAGGGGCAGGTATTGATCTCTTCTCTGTGGTGAACAGGGACAGGACATGAGGGAAGGGCCTGAAGCTGCATCAGGGGAGGTTTAGGCAGAATATTAGAAAAAGTTCTTCACCCAGAGGGGGGTTGAGCATTGGAACAGGCTCACCAGGGAAGCTGCCATGGCACCAAGTCTGACAGTTCAAGAAGTGTTTGGACAATGCACTCAGGCACATCATGTGATTCTTCGGGCTGTCCTCTGCAGGGCCAGGAGTTGGACTTTGATGATTCTTATTCCAGCTTAGAATATTCTGTGTGATTCTGTGTGATCTCTTCCACTATATTTTCTAGGATTTTTCAGCCAAGAAGCAGACACAGAAGGCCTTTGCTATTGCTAAGTCATCAGACTCACAGACACAACTTTCTTTTACTTTTTACTGCATATATTTATGTTTATTTATGTCTGTGCTAATAAGTGGAAGATAATCAATCATGCTATTCTACAAATTGCTGGACATAAAAAAAGTGTTCCTTCAGCTAGCTCGATTAGGGAAGGTCATTTGATCTTGCTCCACAATTCAGCAAATAACCTCTTCCCCTTTGCCCTTGCATCCCCATAAAATCTGAAGGCCCTAAAACAGGATTTAGGTAGGATTTATAACCATAACTCACACACTGCAGCTCTAAAATATTTTTTCTTGCCTGCTAGAAAACTTCTGGAAACACATGATCTCCCCACCACTCACTCTCTTAAAAACTGTAAGGGTCCAAGATGATGGAAGTGTCTTGTATGCTCAGCACCAGAGATAGTTATGTATTTTGTAAGAACCAAAGAAGTGCCAGGATCAGGACCAAAGACCCCTCTTGCAGCCTATATCCAGAACCACACACAGTAACAGGACTTTAGAGGGGAGATTAAGAACCAGGGTGCAAAGTGCCCCCTTGCTGTCCCCGAACCTCTAAGGTTTGTCAGCTAAAAGACTTCCCTTCTATCCACCAGATGCTTCTCTCTTCTCAGGCTATCTATGCTTTTGGTCTCCAAAGTACATTATAACAGAATACACAAATTTAATCATGGATTATTTAAACACATACCCCATGTGGTAACTTGAGGAGTCTAATGTGGAGCTTGAATATGTGACTGAAACACATCTGGAGAGCAGACTAGTGTGCAAGGTGTCTATAGCCCAGTTACTAGATTGGCCTCCTGCAAAATAACTTGCAGGGAAAACACAGATCAATTAATATCCAAATATGACACATAAAGACATATACTGTTTTAAGAACTGAAGGCATTACAAGCACCTGGAATATCTATCTGCTCCTAAGGATAAAATAATTAACCATTTAACAAACATGTACATAAAATTTAACCATTTACCAAACATACACACAGTTGAAAGTAAAGACACTTGATATGTATAAAATGTAGCTGCAGATTACTCTTGGATAGTCGAACAGCTAGCCCTTACCATGTGCTGTCTGGTCATGAGTATAGACCAAACTTTCCTACCTTCCATTCAGCCCTGCATATGGAAAACAGCAAAATAAAGCCACTGCCAAGTCAAACTGCACACCTGGGCAGGGCTGACTCCAAGAAGTCATAGGGCTGGGGACACAAACCATTGAAGCAACAGGAGAAGCTGAGTTATGCCTACCCTGCTGACTGTGGATTAAAAGGAGAATATCTGCAGAGCAAAAGAGTTCAGTATTGAGGTCCCAACATCTGGACTTTGGAAGGTCCTACTTCAAACTAGGTTAAGTGCAATGCCATGGATCAAGAACAGACAATTGGACCCCTCTGGTAGCTCTACAGCACATCTTCAGACTTTGTCTTGCTTGAAAGAAAACCAACCCATTGTACTACAAGACTGCTCTACAGTGCAAAGCAAAGCATAGCAAATGGGACAATTGGGAGATTCCAGAGGCACATGCACCTAATCTGAACTAAAATTATATTTGGGCCAG